TACTAAAGTTGGTTATGAGCTCTTCAAGCTGGTTTCCTAAGCTTGGCCACCATACTGACTGTCTTGCACGCTGTCTGCACTTGACTAATCCGAGATGTCCAGCATGTAGCTTTTCAAGCATTTCCATTCTTAGGGCAAGAGGTATGATAATTCTGCATCCTCGCATCAATATGCCATTTTGTACAGTTATCTAGGCAGCTACTGGTTGGTAATGCTTTACAGTACCTTGTACTTTCTCAGGCCATCCTTGAGAGCAATATTGGAACARCAGYTGACATGYTTCATCTTCKTTTTGGTGACGAACGATTCTTTCCAGCTGTAGGTTTGAAACTGGTAGATCTTTGATCAYTTGGTCTACAAATGCTTGACTTCTTAGATGCAGCTCGTTCTCCTCCTTTCCTACTGGAGCTCTGGATAGAGCATCAGCAGAGAATGATGTGTTCTTTTCCTGGGAYGTACACTATGTTGAAGCTAAATCTCATCAGACGCATGCGGAATCTTTGAACACGTGGTGGTAGGAGATCCAAAYCTTTGTTGCCTAGCAACGGGATGAGAGGTTTGTGATCTGTCTTGATCTTGAATGTCATGCCTATCAGAAGATCACTGAATCTTTCGCAAGCCCAGGTGACTGCGAGACACTCTTTATCGATCTGAGGATACCGCTTCTCTGCTTCAGACATGGATCTTGAGTTGTATGATACGGTTGCCATTCACCATTTTCCTGTAGCTGTGTTACAACGGCACCAAGGCCATAAGAGGATGCGTCTGAGCTGACCACTGTGTCTGCTGTAGGATCATAATGTGCCAGGATCTTGTTGGGATCACTGAGCTCTTTCTTCAGTTTCTGAAATGCTTGTTGCTGTGAGGGTCCCCAATGCCAATCATTCTTTAGGCTGAGTAGCTCTCTGAGAGGCTTGGTTATTTCAGCTGACTTACTTGTGAATTTTCCAAGTTGGTTTGTCATACCGAGGAATCTCCTTAACTCACTCCTATCTGTCGGCTCTGCCATATCCACAATTATAGCTTTCACTTTACTAGGGTCTGGACGTACGCCATTAGCATCAATGACTTGTCCTAGGAAGGTTATCTGTGACTGTGAGAACTTACACTTCTCTTTATTAAGTGTTAGACCAGCGGCTCTAATTCTTTCTAGTGCTGTATTCAGTCTCTCGTCATGCTCCTGTTGTGTTCTAACATAGATCAAAGTATCATCTATGAGACACAAAGTTCCTGGAAGACCACTAAGTATTTCTGACATTCGTCGTTGGAAGTTTTCAGGGGCTGAAGTAATGCTGAAGGGTAGTCTGTTATAACAGAATCTTCCGTACGGTGTAATGAATGTAGTCTTAAAAGAGTGCTGACTCCTTGCTTAGAGGGATTTGGTGGAATCCAGAGTTTGCATCCCACTTCTGTCGCCATGTAGTGTTTTGCGTGGTCAATGGATCTAGATATAACTAAACTAGAATAACATACATGTACCGGTAGCCATCTTGGCTAAGACACATTCCATCACATGACTTCTTTATTAACACAGGTATCCCGACACTTCATACCTCAAAGATGCAATGTTTCACCATTCAGTCATTTTACTTAGAATCACTTCACAGGGAATCAGAATTTATTGTGTTAGGTGTCATAGGTACTTTTAATAGACCCTTTTAGAGATCTCTTTTACGCTGTGGAAGCCTCAAAACCATGTAGTATATTCTTTCATTTACTAACAGTCTGTGCAAATACAAGAGATCCGTGAGTATAGAAGACAATGGAAATAGTTTGAGATTTCACAAGTTTTATCTAAATTTCTGAATATTTTGCAGACAATTGAGGCTAACACAGCATAAAAGAGATCGTGAAACTCAACTATTAGTGAAGGCTGAATTTTTTATTAACCTTGTAATTAGTGAAGGCTGAATGTTTTTATGAACCTTTCTATTAACTAATTTTGCTAATTCTTCAAACACTTTTCATTGACATACAA